TTCAATCAATTAAAAAAGCAAATGGACAAAGCCAAGATTGAGGCAACAATCATGTTGATCCGACCTAAAGGTGTCGGCTAATTTATCCTAGTAGATGCGTTACATATGTTTGTGGTAGTTTCCATGATGAAAACTTAAGAAAAAAAATCTTATTAATAGTATATTTTGCTTTCGATTATTGTTTTGTTCATTCTTAGTTATTTCCCGTGCCAACAATCTATATAGCAAAGTCAATGTTTAATAATTCTTTTGCTTTATTTTTTCCTCCATGAATGATCCCCCACCCCTCCCACCCAACTAACCTCGACCAGAATATGACCCTGTTTGAGTCTCATTAGTTTCTTGTAATATATTATGGAATATTAAATTGATGAGAAATGTATAATTAAAAAAGAAAGAAAATTTTTAAATTTGCGTTTAATATTATTTTAATGAAGAATGTATGATTGAAAATGAGTATTGTAGAAAAAAAAAAAGAAAAAAAAAAGGGCCCAAACGGAGGCGCGTTAAAATTCATATTTAGTAAAAATTTCGATTACCCTCACAGTTTCATTTTGTTTGAAAAAAAAAAAAAAGGATTAAAGAAAAATATTTTTCTCCCCATTCTAGCATATCCTTTCCCCATACATACCCGCTACTCATAGGCAAGAAGGAGGAATGTTACGATTTAATTATATTTCACATCGCTCATGAAAAGTATGCCACGCAGGTTTATAATATTTCGGACACTCTCTTCCACATTGGTTAGAATTTTCATTACTAAAACCAACCTATAAAGGGAGTGTATCCAATTGGTTAAAAATTCACAATTTAAGCCTTCGCCTAGCAATGTGAATTATAATTAGGGTTCAATACACTGAAACGGGAGAAAGGAACTAGAATGGAGTGATCAAGTGAAGCGAGGGAGTTGGTGATAGCGAAAGTAGCAGCGTTTGAGCGTTGAGAGAAGGTAGAAACAACCGAGGTGGGGAGAGACATAGAAAAGGCGGGGATGTAGACGGGACGTTTATTGTTATTCCATTTCTTTTCTTTATTTATTTTTTGTTTCCTCCTCTTCTCTTCTATTTCATTTTTTTTATCTCTTCCATTAAAATTATCTAATTTTATCCACTTTACCTCTCAAATCACGTATATTGCACATGGCCTTCTAATTGTACTAGACTCCTACTAATTTTATTTTAAACTCATTGGTCAAGAACATAGATATAATTAAAGAATTATTAGTATTTGGGACTAAGTGTTACAGAACAACAAAATTAGGGACCCAACGCAATTTTCTCCCGAAATCAATTATAAAAGAGAGAAGGGTCCCCCAGACTCTGCCTAGGCACATGAAGGAATGATGCAACATAACATCAATATCCTGATCCAATTCACTTGTACCAAAGGGAATGTGCAATACACATAATTATTGGTCTCCCTTACGTCTTCTAAATTCTCATTTGGGTCAACCTCTTGTACATGGATTGTATTCAGTAGCCCGTGCCGTGCCCATTCTCATTTCTAAGCCGTTCTGCAATATTGGCTGAACCAAGTAAAATATATAACAGGAGTTGTAGGAAATAGGAATAGTAATGGGAATGGATATAGATGAAATGGATCATGATGAATCAATTGAAAAGCAGGACAAACACAATCTAATTCATTAATTCATATAGAATACCGAGAAAGATTAAGCAATTTAGAGATAAAATTCTACACAACTCGCACCAAAAAAATGTTTTACTCTTTTTGGAAAGTATTGGTGTATCTATAGGGCATTTTGAATTGAGGCCTCCCTAGTCACATCAAAATGAAATGATATTGCTTTAACATGTTTGGCAATCATAAGTGAACTGATGCAAAAGCATGCTTGAAATGTGGTGGATCTTGATTGAATTGACGTGAGGTGGATTCTTGAACTTGATTCTAGGTGATATGAGTGGATTGCATAATTATCATGAGCGGTTGCAATATCTAATATAAGTTGGTATCAAGGTTTTAGATCCTGTATTCGAGTTGATACTAGAGCAATTTTGAAATGGTGAAGGCCTAAAGATTGTGGGTGTTATTGGATGGAATGTACTTAGATCCACTTAGAATTTTTACATCATACTTTAGACACTAGCGTTTGTCAATGTTAATGGGAGTTGAGAGAGACAGAGAAGATTACCAAGTTCCTTGGCATTTCAGTAGCAGTCGAATACCTCAATTCCCCGATGTTGAAAGACACGAATCTCTTGCAATAGAAGAATGAAAATAGCCCATTTAACCAACGTAATTTCACCATCAAGGTCGTCCATATGTACTTTAAAATTATTAGCCAACATGAACAAGTTGTTCATGATCAAAGTATATCTTTTCGTTCAAGTTTGTCATTATTGAAAAATACGAGTTGTGGACTGCCTATGTGGATGACCTGACCCACAAGACATCAAAATGGATTGGAATGAAAGGTAGGAATTGTCATTCATACCTATAACTTCCCTCAAACCTCATCACTTCTATAATTCCAAAATAATTCCCATCACATTGTTTATCAAGGTGAGAAAAAAATTGAAAATGGTGTAAAAATTCATATGTGAAAATACACTAAAATTGGAAAAGACCTAAATTCACTATTTTGGTATGAAAACTCATAAAATTAGTTATTTAGGTTATGAATAATAATCTTCTTCCATTGTGATCGGAATTGAGATTATTGGAGAACAATAAAATACAAAATTTGGAGCTCTAAAATGCAAAGTAATTCAACCACATAAAGATATTGGAATTCAATATTTCAAGTAAAAACTTTGACCTAGAATTCGTGTTAAAGAATGCTACGAATTATTACAAAATTATCAAACATAGGCACTTAGCCCATATTTTAGCATGCAATATCTGCTCATAATGTGCTTGCAATGTCAGACTGACAGCATCGTCTATCATGGCTGCTCCCATGAAGTCTTCCATACTGGACACCTGATCTTTCAGATTTTCTTCATGGTTGTGCTACTCGTACATAGAGCCTTACACTCCGGTTGATACGAGTCCACCTCCTCTCTCACATGGGGAGGTCGGGTGGGACCGTGTAAACCTCCATATACAAATAGATTAATTCTTTTCTCCAACCATCATTGAGCCGAAAATCTGATACCTATTGTAAAATATGTTAAATTAAATAGATTTACGTAACCATTTTTTCTCTTGTTAGGCACTATGTTCCATTGCCAATCATACCAATTCATGCCTAAGCATAATGCACAGCAGTGAAAGGGATGGATAATAGCATTTATAGTTAACCACCCAACTTTTATTTATTATCAAATGAAAAATACACTTCTACAGACTAAGGATCACAAAAATGCACTCAATGCCTTGTGTCTCATGGCCAAAATGTATGCCAAAAAAAAAAAAAAAATCCCCTGAAAAAGACTTTGGTTTTTGCGGCTCTTCTACAAATTTTTTCTTCTCCAAACGTCAAAAGTAACTGAACTTGTGGTTTCTTCATCTCATTTTTCAATTTTGCAATATTTTCTTTAACTGTAGGTCAAGGTAAGGATGGACCTAGAAATTTTTTTCAGTGCGGGCGATATTAATAAAGGTATTTAAAAAAAAAAAAAAAACTATCTAAAAACTTATTTCAATGCTACCACAATTTACAGTATATATTCTCTAACTTATTTCTCCTAATTTTATATGCTTTCTATAGGTTGCTCAAATCATATATGTGCTCCTCTATCTTTCCCTTTTTAGATGAGTTGCCTTCTCAATTTACCTAGCTATCCAAAATCTTAAGCAGCCAGTCATGAATTATGACATTCTTGAATTCTGAATCCAAGATATCATCAAGAACATGAAAGCATATAGCCAACCAAGCAAAGCTAGAACATAGTTACTTGCAGAAATTCCAAAGTAATCATTAAAGATTGCAACATTTTTAAAGCCATGAAAGTTTTAGTAAATTTTATGCATTACTTCCTCGGGTTTTACCTTAGGAAAGAATACAATGAAAGCTCTGAAAGGTGAAAAGTTGGAGATTGAAAAAGTGACGGTAAAAGTATTGAAAAGTTTTATCATTATCAAAATATTTTATTATTCTTTGGTCCTAACATTTTGAAGTAGAAAATTTTATTTGTGGGGGAAAATCGATAACTAAATTTATTTATTTTGTTGATTAAAAAATTAAAATTTAGTGTAGGGATAACTGACCCCATTGTCCCCATAGTTGACGCACCCCTGTATATAGTTATAATGTTGGGACCAACCTAATTTTATTATTATGAGAAACTTATAACATTATAGAGATGTAATTACAAAAATTATTGTTTGACTTAATTATCCTTAGTGCAAGTGGAATAAAGGTAAAATACGCAATTCATTGATAATTATTTAATAGAGCACGTTAAATCCAATATATAGATAGACATAGATAAAAGAGATAAATATAGTTTCAAACACTTAGAATACGTATTATGTAGTATTGTGAATATGCATTGTCATCTTAAAAGTCTAAAATAGGCCTTGGGCTTTAGATAATTTTTCACAAAATCAAAAGGTTCGGGAGGATGAATTTAATACTCTGATCTTCCTTGGGATTCATCACTAACTAGAATACATATAATCAGGGACGAATCCAGGGGTCGAGTTCAGCAAAGGTGAACCGCGAGCGTTGAAAACTTACTATCGATGACCAACGTCCGTGATAGTGGGATTGCTTATTAATATTTAATTAAATAATATTCAAAAAATCGTACGGATTAGAACTAAAACTAGGTTCGACCTTTCATTTTGGATTAAAAAATCATTCCATAATTTGCAAAATGCCCTAATTTATTTTTCAATTAAATAGGCAATATATATTAACAAAATATCAATATTCGGTTTACAATTAAAGTTAATTAAACAAGCATTATTATATTAACAAAATTGAAATCATTTATGTACTTATATCAATTTTATGTGATTTTATGATTCCATTTTTTTGCAATCGATTTTTTGTGAACGAAAAGTAGAACCCTCTTATTAATTAAATAAATTTTGTTGAAAGATTCCTTATGACACTAAGGCCAAATTTCCTACAAATTCTCCACTATTAATTAATCAAACTCTTAAATCAATTGATTAGAGGGAAAAAAAAAGAAAAAAAATCAAGAAGAGGGACAAGCACCGGTTAAAATGCTTCTACTTGCATTAAACCAGTAAAATTGAAAATATACTATTTTGTCATATTATATGCTAAAAATCATTAAGAGCTATGATGGTAAAGTGGTCAATATGTTTAAAGAAGGTAGCAGGTTCAAATCACTTT